GGGTGAAGTGGTGATTCTGAAACAGCATGACGTGAATAACCATTAAAACACGGTGGGACCGAACCAACCCTGGTTGGACTGATGCTCTGACTCCAGTCCACTCTTCTTTTTTCCCAGCACAGACTCTAGGGTCTGAGATTAGTTCAAACACCTCCCGTTGCCTCGACCCTCAGAAAGCTACTTCATCTCGCCATGCAGTTTCCCCACCTATATAATACAGAACACAGTGCTCCCCATCGAGGTGTGTGGATTCAGGTGACATCTGTTCATTGAGACAATAATTTCCTTAGAACGGTGCCTGGAACATGACGAGCACTTTCTGCTCATACACATTTTGCTCCAACTTTACTCAGAACAAAACAGATTATTTGTTAAAAAACTGATAGCTATTGTAAGCTGAAAGTTTAATGATATAATTTATACAGGATTTAAGACATAGCTTAGTAGCAAAAAGGAAAATTAGTTACTGTTCCAGTGCACCAGAGGAGGTCTGCTCTCCTGTAACCGAAGGATGAGGTTCAGATGCCAGAGTCTGTCTGTCATATTACATGACCCACGCGCAGGAAAGACCGGAGGCTGACGGGAGGAGGATGCCTTCACAATGGCAGAGTGGGATTCTCTTGGCTTCTTACTACCAGCAACAACAGAAGGAACAGGATGTACCGACCACACATGGATCATGACTAGCAACTATGACTCTTCCAAATTTGTTTTAAATTATGCAATTTTTTATTAGTGGGTCATTGACTCCAGGTTATTTCCTCTCTCTTGATGCAACTGAATCACAAAAACATACATCTTTATATTGAAGTCGTTGCTGGAGAACGTGTAAGTGGCATTGAGACCGGGACACCGCTGAGCCCACGGCTGCCCCGGCCAGCTCTCTCCACCTCAGAGGCGGCTGCGCTGGACAGTCCCCCGCTCTCTGGAGGCCCAGCTGTCCTCATGCCCCCGGCACCTCACGCTAAAGTTCAGGCCCTCCGGCGGTCGGTGTGCATCTCCCAGAGTGACCTTCAGTCTGTGAGAGGTGGTGTCAATGGGTGGGCGCCCCGGCCCCACATTCTCTGGAGGGACAATTCTGAGGTTCGTTCTACGCGGTGTCCCAAGGCTCCCCAGCAGGACCAAGCCTAGCCCAAGAGAAATAACAGCTCAGGCTCCGCTTCTCACTGGCTTTCCCTCCCACCTGGTGTCACCTGCCACACCTGTGCTCCATCCGGCACCTGGGATCACCTTCCGAAGACATATCAGCGAAATGGGAGGCTCTGCTCTGGGAGCGCGAACTGTGACAAGGACCCGTGACACTCCGTGTTTAATCTGGTGGTTACTGTGATACATTCGAAGCATTTCTGAGACGCTGCATGATCATCCCGTCCGTCTGTGTAACGTCAATAATTCTCATGTTTTCAGATCCGTGACTTCCTTCTGTTCTCCCAGAGGGCTAAGCCACTGATATGAAGACAATGACACGTATCTTACCATTTCAGTCACTGTACCCGACTCTTCATCATTAGGAGAGGAATCTTTTGTAACACCTCCTCGAATGTTCTGCTGTAGAAAGGGGTTAACATCACTGATGCGCAGATCACTCTCCGATTTCAGAGGAAATGTGTCACAGATGGTTAACGTTGGAAACGTGGCCCCATAGCCCCGCGGCCCTGACTTCCAATCAGCACGGCTCCCAGTGTTGCACTCGACACTTCTGCAGCGGGGCAGAGGTGTCTTCAGAACGCGCCGCGCCTTGCTCCCCGTCAGACGGCAGAACGCGAGCAAGTTTATAAAATGCATGCCACTCCTTCCTTCCTGCTGACAGGGCTCTGCTCTGCTGTTTATTACTTTTGTGTGTTGTGACTTAGAACAGGGGATCTATTTTCCCCGGTGCTGGCGGCTGTTTTTTCCTCAGTGAGCCAGAGGGAGATAAACAGAACGTTCTTATTTATAAGTGACGACTGAGACACCCTTCAAACCCACTCTGCATGTCCCCTCCAAGCCTCAAATCTTAAAATTGTGAAAGCATCAAGTGCACAAGTTGAGAAGCACTTTTTTAGCTCTTTGTATGGAGTGTAAGATACGGGCACTTGCTCCAGAGCCCAGAAAGCCATGTCCCTGAAATCGCTCTTAACCTCTGCTCCGCAGCGGGAGCAAGTCTCACAGGACAAGCGGAGCTGGGATTGAGCAGCGCGTGCTTTGTCCTTCGTCTCCGTCACTCACGCTCCACTCCCCAAACCCTGTCAGACCCGAGCACAGCGGCGCTGACCGAGGCGCTGGCAGCAGGGAAGAGCATCTCAGTCCGACCTGAATAAACCCGGTCTATTTGAGTAAACAAACATATAAAAGATGATTGGGTTTTAATTTTTTCTTTATTGATTTTAGACAGAGAGGAAGGGAGATGGAGAGAGAGATGGAAACATCGATGAGAGAGAACATCGACTGGCCGCCTCCTGCACGCCCCCACTGGGGACCGGCCCACGACCTGGGCACGTGCCCTGACCGGAATCAAACCGGCGACCTCTTGGTGCAGGGTCGACGCTCAACCACTGAGCCACACCGGCCCTGCGATAACCTAAAACTGTAAAGTGAAGGCAGGTTCTTCTCCCCCCACACCAATCATCTCCAGCATCCCATTAACTAGAATTAATTTTTGTCAGAATAAGACAGCAGAGATATGATGATTAACAGGCCTTTTGCTCACAATATATATATAAATATTTATATTTATCTACATATTTAAAAATATAACACATATTAGAATATATTTATGTATTTGAATATTTAAATATATATACTAAAACAGAATTATATAAGCTAAAATTTTTATATTTCAGATATATATTTCATATATATACATTATATTTCAGATATATATCAAGTTCAGTAGTGTTTCCTTTAAGCACACTATATAAATAGGAAATATACTTATTTACACATAAAAAACCATAAAAGCTCAGAATATATGATTGAAATGATTTCTGTTAATCAAACATTTTATTAGCCATTATAAAATTGGAACTATTTCCCTAAAGAAAAATCTCATCCCCATCATAGCACAAAATGTTACACACACGTTATATGCAACGATATTCATATTATAGAACAGCGAGCTCTCCCATTGTCCCTTCACGTTCTCATTGCCTGCGACCCGCGCTTCAGCCGTGTCTGACGACACTGATCACATCAACGACACACAACAGTAACCTGCCCAGCCGGGGCGGCCCAGGGGCTGAGCATCGACCCTGCACCAAGAGGTCCTGGTGTGATTCCCGGTCAGGGCACGTGCCCAGGTCGTGGGCCCGATCCCTGGGGGAGGGGGGTGGCACGCAGGAAGCAGCCAGTCCATGTTCTCTCTCATCGATGTTTCTATCTCTCCCTCTCCCTTCCTCTCTCTAAAACCAATCAAGAAAAAAAATTTTTTTTAAGAATTGCAAAATTAAATGCAAAGTACAGAAAATTACTTCGATATTTAGTTATGGCAAAATAATAAAAGTAAATCACGATTCAAGAATTCCACTAGACATAATATGAGCATATACTGATACCAATAAAAACACTAAGCTTTTTTTCTTTATAGGTTTCCTTATTTATGGTAAATGGTAATATAATAATCATGTTAAATTTTAATAAAGATGAGAAATAAAGAGATTTTCAAAATACAATACAGATAGTGCTATATTAAGGACATTTAAATTTTAAAAGATAAGGATGAATGCGATAGGTATTTGTCTAACATAATACATTGAACATACACGTCGGGAATAGGTCACCTAGATTTTAGCCTGAGTTTACTCCACAGACTTTCACACGGGACTACTTTTGAATTCCTATGTAATTTAGGTAGAAGGAAAATACAGGTTAGAAATAACAGTTGATATGAGGTGATTTATATATGCGTATTTTTGTTATATTCTTATACTACATATTTCTGACATTTAAATAAACTCACAAGAAAACTTAATTATATTTATAAAAGTACAGGCGATTGATACCCCCCTGGCAAAGTGGGGTATCACACAGATCACCCAGTCCAAACCCAGCAACTAGTTATTGAGCCGTGGTTTCAAAACATAGGCTAAGAATCCATTAATGAATGTTCCTTCTGGGAAAAAACAAAATCCAATAATGACATATAAGACATGTCCATTTGCTATGAGCACCAGCCAGGCAAAGAGGTGCAACCTCATGAGGGTTACCTGCCCCTTCAAGACGGAAACGTGGTTCAGGTTGCACAGAACAGCGTCAAAGGACGGTGGTGAGGAATGACTTCTAGTCCATGATAATACCATGTCCCCAAAATGAAACTTTGAAACATTTCAGTACACCGCAATTGGGGGATAGTATTTTGTTAGAAAAAGTACAATAAAAACAAAAGCAAATTGGGAGTTTAAAAGGTTTCATCGGGCTGTTTCATTTGTTATCAGATTACCTTTGAACATAGCAGATTAATGACAGGAGATAACATATTTATTTTTCATTTTCCAAATGCGGGAATATTGGGGCTCCCATATGTAATAATACTGTATTCCATGTGTTTGAATACTAAATACATATACCAATACATATACTTATCATACGAAGTGAACCGGACTTAAAGTTCTCTTTCTGTGTGTTTAGATAGACCTTCCTCTCCTCCTTTGGGAAATTCTTTCAGGACAAACCATGAGAACCATGTGCAATCACTCTGTAACTTTCTCCAGAGAATGCCCATTTTTCAGTTCTCTCCACTTAAGGAATAAAAAAGCCCCTGAACTTGGTGATGAGGTGTCTCAGTGAGATGGCGAGAGCTTGGGTTTGGGGTGATATGTCCCTGCCCTGACTTTGCTCGGCCGACTTCAGCAGGTATCTAACTCCTCTGAACCACCATCTCCTGGCCCGGCCTGAGGTCATGACCCCATCCTTTCAGGATCACAGGAAAGACCGACCGAGGAGAACGGACCTCGCGCAGCACCATGGGTGGCAACGGCCCAGTCTGTGTACATGTCGTACATGTATACGTGTCCACGTGCACACAGATGCAATCGGCAGTAAAAGAACTGCCTCTTTCTTCCTTACTTCCACCCTCCCTCACCTTCTCTGCAGCAGGCAAAGTTACCTGGCCCCAAAGAGAAAGGTGCTGTGTGAAGGAATCTCCTTTTCCCTTGAGCGGTATGCGAGCTGTGGTTTAGAAGCCTGGGCCTCCCAAGCTGGCTCTGTCTGTCCTCCAGGAAGACAAACACGTTGTCCTTGCTAACATCTGGCCTTTCTCAATGACTCACTAAATTCCATTATGGAAAGAAAAAGAAGAGAAGGAAATTGAGCTTTAATGGGTGAAGGAGGGATGTTAAAGGTGCCAGGACCCAGCGTCTGGAGAGCCATTTCTAAAAGGGGTGTCAGAGGGCCTGGCTGACCAGAGAATGTCGTGGGGAAAGACTCTGGGGAAAGACTTCTTCAGGGACACTGCTCCCATGCCTGGGACCCAGGATGCTCCCCCAGAAGAGATGCAGCTGGCCATGCGTGGGTCATTTTCATGAGGCCTAGGCAGCCACAGGGTAATCCTGCCAGCTCCCTTCCTCAGCAGAAATGTTTTGCTGGCTTTATGCGGAGTCTCGTCCTCCTCTGGCCGCTCACCTTGTGATCGACGGGTGACTCGCGCCTGAATCACTCAGCCCGAGGCAACATCTCCCAGCACCTGCATGCTTTCGGATCACAAGACTGACAACTCTAACTCTGTATTTCAGAACAGGCTTGGTCACACAAGGACACTGTAAGCGGACACCCATGTTCATACCTGTTTTACGACAGCTGACGTCTATTTGGCCCCGAATGCCAGGCGCTGAGTGACGCTCTGACTTCCCAGCTGACCCATGGTGGCCCCTGCGTTCCCGCCCCTCTGCCAGATGACAGAACAGGAGCCGAAGGAGTCCCACGGACAGTAAGTGCTTCTCCTGTGTCATAAATGACGGCGTAGACCTTCTGCAGTGGGTGCGTCTGGCCCGTGTCCCCCTTTTAGCCACTGCAAAGGCATTAAGAGAAACCATTCATCCAGATGGCAGGGTGGGGGAGGGACTGAAGTGGAGGTGAGGCTTCCTTGTCATGACCTTGACCCAGGCAGGTGGCTGCCAGCTGGGAAGCAAACCCTCTCGCATTGTGTGTACGGTGCAGGTGAAGGAAGCCTCCTCGTGGAAGGTACAGCTATACATGTACTCCCGGACAGTCACAGTGTGAGTGGGGTGCTTCTCAAACACATGCTTTTCACTTAGTTGCTGGCAGTCAGGTTCTGCCTTGGCATACGGGTCCTCCAAACTCAGCCCTGCACATCTGGGTGTGCATGAGGTTTCCATGCAACATCTCTAGCAGATTCAGGCCGAGGAGAAAACAGTCCACCACCCCGACACACCCAGGCACACACCCAGGCAGGCACACTTCTCCGCCCAGGGAGGGGCAGGAACACAGGCACGCCAGCCTGAGACAGCTTCTGCCCTCTGCCCTGCCTTGGGCAGATGAGTGTGAGGTCCCAGCGCAGGCTCAAGCCAGCTCTCCCCAGGTCACATCTCTGGTGTCTTTCTCACGCTGCTGTGGGTGGGGAGTAGACAGAGTCAGTCTTCTTGGACATGCAGCCGAACCTGGGATCTCAAGAGTTGGCCTGACATTCATTGCTCCCTGTCCCCAAAGAAAAGAAACTTGAAACTCTTTTCTTCCATACTAGATGCATTTTCTTATCTCTGCCCTCTCTGTACATTTTACCTCCTCCACTCTGGGAGAAAATGGTGGGTGGTGATGAGGATAATGTTGGCCATTGTGCAGCTTTGCAGACACTCTCTGAGGGTGCCTGGGCTGATGAATGGAAAGTGATGACAATTTGGTGCTGCTTGTTCCAGAGTAAACACTGTAAACTAATTATGTGCTACACCTCCCCTGAGAGTCTGTGCTTGGAGCAGGAGCCTCTGATTACTGATGTTGTCTGTATTTCTATCTGATAAATTACATTTAATTGTTGTGTAATTAGATAACACCTCTAGCATTAAAAAAAATAATAAACCCTGTAATAAGACATAATTTCTGAGAACGGTGTAAATTCCGATGATTGTAAATAAAGAGTCCACATGATAGCTCCATGAATTCATCAGAACACTTTGGTTTATGTTTTTTTTTTAAAGAGAGTGCTTTGCATAATATGGAACTGTATTTGGTGTCAATTGCAGAATTCTTTATGAAAAAGCAATTGAAGAAATCCGTTTCCATGCAAATGAATTTTATACGAGATGAAATCTGCCTAGTCAATGAAGCCTTTGAAATTTAAAAAATTACCCTTCAAATTCTCCTCTAATTAAAGCAACTACTAATTACATCAATGGCTTAACTAGTTAATCACAACTAAATAGCAAATTACAAAGCATCATCCAGTTGACATTTATTCAGGAATCGGCTTGGGTCTGCCTCTTTAGTTCCCACCACTTTTTTTGACTGTCCCATCCAAAGCAGCAAGGTGGGATGCAAGGTCCAATGGGCCAAAGATACTTCAATTTGTTCTTTTTTATCAAAATCCAAGAAAACGGCAGTGACCACTACTCACAGCTCTCACTTCCATATTCTGTAAAATATCAACAAGGAGCAGACACGGCAGACGGGCGGAGGGGCTGGGCATCGTGGCCCCTGTCACCCAGCTGCTCCCTGACGCATCTCCTACCCCTTCTCCTCTCACAAGTGAGGGAACATTTACTCCACAGCAACCTTTAAGGACCAGTGACAAACTTCCAAAATGCAACAGAAAGCATCTTTGTGAGAAGCCTTGGCAAACAGATGCCAACACTGTTCTTTTTTGATCAATTTCTAGTTATAAGTTCCCCCTTGCAAACTACCTCTAAAAAAGCATCTAGACTCTATTTCTGCCTTCAACTCAGAAAGTCTCTACTGAAAATGACATTTAAAAGGTGGTTGCCCTCCGGAGCACTTGCCTCATGGACCTAAGACTTTGGAACATGGTCTCCATCTCCACTCTGACACTTAGGCTTGTCTTGGATGATGCCAAGTCGGCGTGGACGGCCCAAACCCAGCAGGCTTCATGGTCAGCTGGTCTCAGAGATGACCGCTGACACACCCACAGCCCTTGGGCGTGCTCCGGGCATCGCAGTCGCGACAGCCCTGAGGCCGTGTTCACTGACTAGGGGCTCATTCACTCACGTGTCCTAACCAGCACAGAAGAGTTAATTATGTCTTTACATCTGACAGAACTTCAACCTCAAATTTACTAGGACAAGCCATACTTTTGGCCAGGACTTTAACTAACCTTGAATGAGAATTACCTTAAAAAACATGTTAGCTTGTGAATTTTTAAAAAATATGTTTGTATTGCCCTGGCCGGTTTGGCTCAGCGGTTAGAGCGTTGGCCTGTGGTCCTGAGAGACCCGGGTTCAGTTCCCACTAAGGGCATGTACCTCGGTGGCAGTTTGTCCCCGGCCCTGGTTGGGATCATGTGGGTGGCAACCACTCGATGTGTCTCTTTCACATTGATGTTTCCCTCTCTCTCTCTCCTGCTCTATCTGAAGATAATGCAAAAATGTCCTCGGGTGAAGATTAAAAAAAAAAAAAAAAATTGATGAGAGAGAAACATTGATCAGCTGCCTCCTGCATGTCTCCTACTAGGGGTCGAGCCCAAAACCCAGGCATGTGTTCTGACCCGGAAGCTAACCGGTGACCTCTTTGTACACAGGACGATGCTCAATCAACTGAGCCACAGCGGCCAGGCTACTAGTGTGTGAATCTTACCTCATTGTAGATTAAATACAATTAAGTCACCCATTTTCAGCCCTTACAGGTTCCACCACAGAGATCCATTCTTACCGGGGTCCCCACCAACAAGCTTGTATCTAAGTCCAGAAAAAACATGTTATTACTTGATGTTACACAGGTACTTGACGCAGTTCATTACTCCTTTATTATATAGTCATCATTAGATAAGCAAACAAAACAAAACACCTCAATTCCATGACGACATGGCCACCTTGTCTCCTGACCTTCTCCTCTCTCAGGTGGACCCTCTTAGGTAAACCTTCTCATACTTCTTTCTCAGCCTCCTCAGTTGGAATATTAATATTTGATTTGAACAAGGCTCCAAAACTAAACCTCATTTTCTTTTTCTATACTTTCTGCACCGATGATCTCACTCAGTTCATAGGCTTTAATTATTATCTATGCGTGGATCACCCCAAATGTTTTATCTGTGGCCCAAATAATTCTTCTGAGCTCAGATCCACAGAGAGACAGCTAAAGTTCATGATATCCAAGTCCAGCCGGTGTGGCTCAGTGTTGAGCATCGACCCTGCACCAAGAGTTGCTTGTTCGATTCCTGGTCATGGCACATGCCCAGGTTGTGGGCCCAATTCCCAGTAGAGGGCATGCTGGAGGCAGCCAATTGATGTTCTCTATCATCAATGTTTCTATCTCTCTCTTCCTCTCCCTTCCTCTCTAAAATCAATAAAGGGGGGAAAAAGTTCATAATATTCAATATTAATCTTATCATCCCCCATTTCTTCTCCCAAAAAATCTTCTCCACTATTCTTTTTTTGTTAAATATGTTTTTATTGACTTTAAGAGACAGAGAAAGGGAGAGGGGGAGAGAGAAAGAAACATTGAATCCATTGGCTGCCTCCTGCATGCCCCGCACTGGGGATCAGGCCCACAACCTGGGCATGTGTCCTGACCGAGAATTGAACCAGCGACCTCTTGGTGCAGGGTCGACGCTCCACTCTCCTTACTTTAGTTTATAGAACTGGCCTTTACCTACTTGTTAAGCCAGAAATCTGAGAGACGCAGTTTTAAAAATACATGTGTGTATATAATAACACAAAATAGATTTATCAAGGTGGATTGCATTCAGGAAAACATTTGAAAGCTAAATTTAACAGGTGTGTTGCTTAGAAAAGTATCTGTTACATAGTAACTATTCTAAACTATTAGCAGTTATTGTAACTATGCTCTTTAACTCACCCTTCCGTCCCTGTTCATCACCAATCCATCACCAAATCCTCTCATTTTTATTCCCTAAACGTATCTTTATTTCCGCTATGTCCCTCCAATCCTTCCGCTGACCTTCCTAGACCAGGACATCTCTCACCTGGACCTCTGGCAGCCTCTAACTGTTATGATGGTAACCCTTGCCCTCTTCAGATGTTTCCCTACCTCGCCTTCCAGTTGACTTCTTCCCAAAGCCAAGGTGATGAGGTCAGCACCACTCCCTCCTGCAACGCAGCCTGCACAATATTCCAGGATCAAACGCTTCGCCTGGCGCTGCATCCTGCACACAAACAGCCACGAGTCAGGCTCCCATTGTCAACGTATCCAGCTGCCATCTTGTCTCAGGGACGCCTCCCACCAGGGTCCTCTCCAGTCCTCTGCCGAACACAAAACTAACTCCCTCGTGCTGCTGTTTCCTGTCGACCGGTTACCAATTTTCTCTGTCTAAATGTACAGTTTATATTCTTCAGGAAGCTTCACGCTGCTTTCCCATCAGCAGTTTCCAAGCTGTAAGTCGTGGCCCTCAGTGGGCTACGGAGTCAGCATGGTGCATCTCTGGTCAGCAGACTTTCAAAGCTGTGGAATGTTAATGCCATGTCGATTGGGGTAATAAGACATGACATGCCATTAAAGTGAAGTATTTTTATAAATTTGTGTGTATGGGGGGAAGGGTTGTGATAAAAGAAAGTATCTTTTTCTTACTGTGAGTCACATTTGAAATTAAGTTTAAAAACCATTGTTCTAAGGGGTCACCACTTATGGGCTTGCACAACACTGGTCTTTAGTGAAGTGAATCCCTCCAGCTGTTCCTTGAACACCTGCAATGTTAGTGTCCGTCTTCCAGACCATGTAGGAAATACAGCAAGCGAGGACAGCCTTCCTTACACAGTGCGTCTGAACAGAAACCCCTCTAAATAACAGATCACTTTCCAACGTCAAGCCTGCATCACCGAGGGCTCCTTTCCTGGCGCTGATGGTGCAACCGTGATGGGACTGTCAGGATGGACCTTGCACCCTGCAGACCTCAGGTTCAGCAGCCCCTGAAAACAACCACGGGCCTGGCCGCAATGCCACCTCTGCTGGCCACCCCTGGAGACTGTTACCAGCGCCTCCTCGACGTGCCAGGTGGAGATGCCCCTGCTGCTCTGCGCCGCGACTGTTAGTGGAGAAAAGAGCTCGGAACCGTGTCTGTCACATGGAGGCATTTTACAGACTGTGGTTGCCTTCCTGTCTCCATCCCTTCCTTCTGGCTGGTCGCCAAAAGGCTTCCTTAACACAGTTCACACGTTCTATTCTAACATGAGCATAATGTCATCAAACCCAGTTCAAGGACAAGATACGCCAAACCAATAGCATCACGAAGCTTTTCTTATTGTTTTTTCTATCTTCTTTATATTTTCTCCTACTTTCCTCTTCCTAGCTGAGCAAGCCACGATCTGGAGCAGTCTCTCTGGGGAATCCTGGGATCCACACTCCCAATTCCGAGTCAAGTTCAGATGCGGCATCTGTCCCCTCAGGGGGACTGCTTGCTGCTGGGCGTGGGAAGGCTGTCAGTGTCCCGCAGATGATGTCTGTCGGCTGAGGGAACACAAAGTATGTCTCCAAGGCAGACCCTATGCTGCCTACCCCGAAACAGGCTTTAGGAAGTAACCAAGCAAATGTCATGAAGAGGCTGACCCAATGAAATGTACTACTTTATTCCACCTCAGTTCAGGACTATCAAGTCCACCACCATCATTCCTTAGAATGTTCATGAGATTCTACACAGATAATCGGACAAAGAAATGAAACGGGAAGAAGACAGCAATTCAAGATTTCAGAACTCAACGAAAGTTATAAGACTAGAAGCTTTCCAGTGCTAACAAACGTCTCATTAATATTATTTTCTTTTATCCTCACCTGAGGACATATTTTTTTGTATTCATCTTAGATAGAGTGGGAGGGAGAGAGGAAGGAGGAGAGAGAGAGAAACATCCATGTGAGAGACACACTGACTTGTTGCCACCCACAGGACCCCAACTGGGCTGGGGACAAACTGCAACCAAGGTAGTGCCATTAGCAGGAACTGAACCCAGGACCCTCTGGTCCGCAGGCTGACACTCTAACCATTGAGCCAAACCGGGCAGGGCACATATTAGTTCAGCATAGATAACCATACTTAGCAATTTCAGGGAGGTGGATTTATGCAGCTTGACCCTCTTCTGAACCTCTGGTTGACTAACTTCACACGCTCCTCAGCATGGAAGATGTCCAGAAGAGATGACCAACGTCCCCAAACACCTCCAGAAAGTCACACTCATGCACCACGCATCACGACTAACTCTTTACATTTTTCTCTTGCCTTTTAAATAAAACTCTTTTTATCCAGGCATGCCTCTGATTCTGGATGGCAAAGAGGAAGAGGAAATTGAGCATAATAGTTGGAAGAGACATGACTTTGAAGCAGCATTACCTGTGAGCAATCTAGTCCTAAAGTCATCACAACCTTGATTTTCTCAGTGTGCGTATTTCATAACATGTTGAAACACTTCTCAAACCTGGTAACAGTATTTGAGCATATTCTTTATTTTAGAAAGTGTTATGCGGTTGACACTTGAACAAGGTCACATATTTTTAAAGCCATTGTATAGAGAATACACAGAATAACTGCAATTTCTCTTTATGTTGATAGAGTCACAAATACTTTAATGCTTTATAATTTTTTTGTAACTTTATTGATTTTAGAGAGACAAAGGGAGAGGGAAAGAGAGATAGAAACATCAACAAGAAAGATCATCGATTGCCCGCCTCCTGCATGCCCCCCACTGGGAATGGGGCCCACAACCTGGGCATGTGTCCTGACTGGGAATTGAACTGGCGACCTCTTGGTGCAAGGTCAATGCTCAACCACTGAGCCACATCTGCTGGGCTTAGTGATTTATAATTTAAAATTCTTTCATTTTATTTTTATTTTTGTTATATGTTGTCACCAACAATGTATGTGGGTTCTGAACCCTCACTTTTTACATGAAGAGTATAAAGATATACTCTTTGGATAGTTTTCCCAAGAAATAAACTGAAGCCTGGTCTTCGTTTTCTTGTCTCTAATAACTGAGCATGTTCCTGCTATGTGAACTGAATACAGAATTTAGAAATATAAACAAAGTTTGGTCTGAATTAGAAAACAAATATGGTATTTTTCAGTTGACTTGTTACGTCATTATCATCATCACAGTACACCTCAACCTGATTCATCTACCCGACATACTTCATTTATTTCTTTATTTATTCATTTATTTTTACTCTTCACCCGAGGATACTTTTCTATTTATCATCAGATAGAGTGGGAGGGAGGGAGGGAGACAGAAAACATTGATGTGATAGAGCCACATTGACTGGTTGCCTCCCTCATGACCCAACCAGGGCTGGGGACACCACAACCAAGGTATGTGCCCTTGACCGGAATCAAACCAATGACTCCTTGGTGTGCGGGCCAATGCTCTAACCACTGAGCAAAACCAGCCAGGGCCAGACATGCTTTGTTTTAATTGAGTCCCCTCAGTCCCATTGTCTCACAGTAGAAATCAGACAGAGGCACCACAGTCATTTTAGATAGAAATTTGACAAAAACCTCTTTTGCAGGAAGGTTGAATTTGAATATATGTCTCCTATGTTTTACCAAAAACTGAAAATTCACTGGAAAGATCTGTTCATTTGTAAAAGACTATATCCAATTATACATACACACAATATTGGATTTTGTTACATTTTGAATTAAATTTTCCCAAGGAAACATGAGACTAATCAAAAGGAAATTCATTAATGTTTGCCACAACTCATTTAAGGAATAAAAATCAGATCTCTCATATGTACACTTTAATAAATATCATATGTTTGAAAACAATCGATCAAACACTGTATTTTTGTTTACCAGACGTCTAATAGAGAATTTGGGTTGTTTCCTTTTAGGCCTGTTGAACTTGAACCATCTTTGATCAACATAAAAAGATGGAGAAGGGAACATCATCGGAGTTTATCCCAGAAGGTGGGCGTCATGCTGGACACTGTCTATTTCTTACCATACTTAATGCTTCACAAGTATATAATGCAGAAAATAAAAATAAACCACGTAATATGTAATCACACTCGTTTTAAGTCATTTGCAGATCTTAGAGTCTCTAAAGCTGTAGATTTCTAAAGTACGGTCTCTCAACATCAGTTTCATCACTGGTGACATTCCTCCATGTTGTGTGCAGAACCGTGGAATACAAGTCATCTTCATTTCCTGTCCTTAGGAACAGGGGAATGTATGTGTTTTACATCAATTATACTTCACTACTTCTGATCCGCAGTTTCTTTTCAATCACCGTGAATTTAGAGAATTAATTAACTTGATGACAAGATAGAAAAACAGGATTAGGCAAAAGGCCCATCTCTGAAATCCCATGCGAGAGAAAATGTCACCTGCCATTCTAATTTATTTTCCCATATCACTTAACTGTCAAATGATATTGTTCTGACATTTGGAAGAAAGACCATGTGCATAAGAAATGTCAAGGCTTTTCTTTTTCTCCAAACACAACTTTATTTGCAGAAAGCAGAACAACACAAATGCAGGTATCATGCAATTTGCTTTTTTTTTTCACACTAGCAGTGTTGCCAGGAAACCTGCCTCCTTCTAATCTGAGATTTGTTACCTAGCAACCATCTGACAATTGTAAGGCTTAGGTGACCTGGATATATTTCAGATGGTTAACCCTTATACAACTGAGTTAATTATATACTTACAGACTCTTAAGGTTCCTAGGTAAAAATTATATATATATAATTGGAGTGGAATTTAATTTTAACTGTCAACAATTTAATAAGTTGATTTTCTTAGGGCAGAAATTAAAGAATTGGAGTAATAGTGTGCATTTTCTCATCTAGTACACCAAGTGACTCTTACAATGGAAGTCTTAGTGTCTACCTTTATTGTCTTGGTGATATGCATGCATGTTTGTCCAAAATCTGAAGGTCACAAAAAATCCTGAAAAATAAGATTATTGACATTACATCAGTGTGTCAATCTGACTCGGCCAGTGCTGAAAACAAAACCATAAGGCTAAATAAAGACGTGTGCATCTGCCCAGAGTTCAAGCAAACATTAATCTCGAATGCAAATATCGAGAAATAAAAATGATCACATCTGTTAAAAATAGTTATACTTCCAAAAAATACAATCACTGGATATATTATGGAAGCACTCCAAAAATGTGAGATAAAGAGACAAAGAAGAGAGAAAGTAAGAGTCTCTGAAAAACAGTGACATTTAAATAAGTGCAATTCCCCCACTTCCTGAGGCTAGAAAATAATAAAATGCTTTGTGAACTCTGGCAACATTGTACCTTTAAAATGTTAATGTCCACTTGTAGGAACCAAGTGTTCAAAGCTCTTTCAAAAGATTTAAGCAATTATAAATAGAATACTTTTCATCATGTTAGTCAAACTAAAGTTTTGTATGGGTTGAAGTAGGAAAAAAATTGTGTGTGTGTGTGTATGTGTAGTAATTAGGAAGAAACTAACTGGGTGCTTGTATATTTAATTTTTTAAGTATAAATTCTATCACTAAGGATATCTTCTTCCAACAATTGAACAAATTTATTGTACAAATCAATTTTTAAACCCTGCGTAAAAATAAAGACCCATTTGTAAATGGGCTAAGTGTTTGCAATATTGAAGTGTGGCCCCTAATGCCTGGCCGGTGTGGCTCAGTGGATGGAGCGTGTCCCACAGACTGAGAGGTCCTGGTTTGATTCCTGGTCAGGGCACATGCCCGGGTGGCAGGCTTGATCTCCAGTAGGGGGCGTGCAGGAGGCAGCCAATGGGTGTTTCTCTCTCACATCAATGTTTTCATCTTTCTCTCTGTTCCTCTCTCTCTAAAAAATCAATAAAAACATTTTTTAAAAAGAAAAATGGCCCCTATTAATTGCAAAGAAAAACATAGATTCTCCAAAGATAAATGATTGTAAATGTTTATTTTAATATATAAAGCATCTGTTTAAAAACAATAAAATCAATTTGTATATTCAGTTAATGTATAAACTTGTGAATGTTATTCAATGGATGGTTTCTAACTCAGTAAAATGTTTTATCAGAGCTCTTTTACCAACGTTTCAATGGGAGCACACATGACCATATCTGCTAAGAGATTTGTATCAAATGCAAAAAGAAGGAATGACAACTAAAAGAAAAACCAGAATTGAGTCGGCATGTCTGTTGTTACTTTTATTATAGAATGAAAATAAAAATATTCTCAAAGATGGAAAAGAAGAATAAGAATCATAGTAACATGAAGGAAAAGACACAGTTGACAGAATGGGCGGGTGATTATCACCCTGCCATGCACCCCTAACCCTCGTACCCTCTGTGGTGTGCAAATCTGAAACTCTGTAGGACAAGAAGTGGAAAGAAATCACCTTTAGTGGACACTGACTTTATCCCAGGCACTTTAAAGCTGAACAGGATCACTGGGTTTTCACATCAGAGAAACCCAGAGGCCAGGGCAGGCTGTGCACCCACTGAGCTCTGTGGGCTTGGACACGGTACGGAATATGCATCAGACAGATTTTTTCTTGTCAAAAGTGAAGAGCTGGCTGTATCTTGTTAAAATGGAATGAAATGGTGCATGTCAAACACTCAGGACAGTGCCTGGCACATGGTAAGTGCTTGTGAAACAAGGAGGAAGTGAGGCTGCAGGAAGGAACAAGCTCTGATAAACTTGCTCCCAGATACACTGATGCTCTATCAGTAAGAAGTACAGGAGACTTTCAGTCAATGTCAACTCCACTCAATTTGAGTTTGTTGACTCATTTATAGTCTTAAAAACCTTTCAGAAGTAAATATAATTACTGTCAAAGAAACCTGTGACCAAAATAATTTTTGGACTTATTCATGTTGACTCATCTGGCAATTTTTAGCAGTAATTTTGTGCCGGGTCATTTTCCAGATGCTGAGTCTTTGGAAGTCAGTCACGGAGACAGAACAGAGGCTGCAGGCCAGCATGAGGCTCAGACCCTTCCCTGTGCTGCTTTCTAATTGGAAACAGCAAACCAAACGCCCTCTCCCTGGTGGAGAGCACACGGAGAATGCTAACAAGGGAGCCCAGTTCTAATCAGCATAAAATATCTAAGCCACGGACTGAGTGCCGCTAGTGTCTAAATCCCAGGGGAAGTTAATGAAACCAAAATGTGGAGTATTCTTACATATATATTCAGTCATAATTGGCCAGGAGTGGATGTTGGTTTTGTGCAAGCAACCAAGCTAAAATAATTACACTGCTTTGAGACCAGTGAGGACTCAAGTTAAAGGTTAATAGAATAGCACAGGCATTCAACGGATATTTATGAAACATGTCCTAAGTATGAAACTGGAGCCCCTAAGTAGAAACAACAGAGGCAGGGTGGGAGGGGTACAGGTGGACTTGTGCAGGGCCTGAGCCAGCGGCAGTGAGGACCCAGCGCTACAGGTGCTCCGGGGGAGGAAACGGGCAGTGAGGACCCAGCGCTACAGGTGCTCCGGGGGAGGAAACGGGCAGGGAGGACCCAGCGCTGCAGGTGCTCCGGGGGAGGAAACGGGCAGGGAGGACCCAGCGCTACAGGTGCTCCGGGGGAGGAAACGGGCAGTGAGGACCCAGCGCTACAGGTGCTCCGGGGGAGGAAACGGGCAGAGAGGACCCAGCGCTGCAGGTGCTCCGGGGGAGGAAACGGGCAGGGAGGACCCAGCGCTACAGGTGCTCCGGGGGAGGAAACGGGCAGGGAGGACCCAGCGCTGCAGGTGCTCCGGGGGAGGAAACGGGCAGGGAGGACCCAGCGCTGCAGGTGCTCCGGGGGAGGAAACGGGCAGGGAGGACCCAGCGCTGCAGGTGCTCCGGGGGAGGAAACGGGCTCTGTGGACCCAGCGCTGCAGGTGCTCTGAGGGAGGAAATGGGCAGGGAGGACCCAGCGCTGCAGGTGCTCTGAGGGAGGAAACGGGCAGTGAGGACCCAGCGCTGCAGGTGCTCCGGGGGAGGAAATGGGCAGTGAGGACCCAGCGCTGCAGGTGCTCTGAGGGAGGAAATGGGCAGTGAGGACCCAGCGCTGCAGGTGCTCCGGGGGAGGAAACGGGCAGGGAGGACCCAGCGCTGCAGGTGCTCCGGGGGAGGAAATGGGCAGTGAGGACCCAGCGCTGCAGGTGCTCCGGGGGAGGAAATGGGCAGGGAGGACCCAGCGCTGCAGGTGCTCCGGGGGAGGAAATGGGCAGTGAGGACCCAGCGCTGCAGGTGCTCCGGGGGAGGAAACGGGCAGTGAGGACCCAGCGCTGCAGGTGCTCCGGGGGAGGAAACGGGCAGTGAGGACCCAGCGCTGCAGGTGCTCCGAGGGAGGAAACGGGCAGGGAGGACCCAGCGCTGCAGGTGCTCTGAGGGAGGAAATGGGCAGTGAGGACCCAGCGCTGCAGGTGCTCCGGGGGAGGAAACGGGCAGTGAGGACCCAGCGCTGCAGGTGCTCCGAGGGAGGAAACGGGCAGGGAGGACCCAGCGCTGCAGGTGCTCGGAGGGAGGAACGGGCAGGGAGGACCCAGCGCTGCAGGTGCTCTGAGGGAGGAAATGGGCAGGGAGGACCCAGCGCTGCAGGTGCTCTGAGGGAGGAAATGGGCAGTGAGGACCCAGCGCTGCAGGTGCTCCGGGGGAGGAAACGGGCAGGGAGGACCCAGCGCTGCAGGTGCTCCGAGGGAGGAAACGGGCAGGGAGGACCCAGCGCTGCAGGTGCTCCGGGGGAGGAAACGGGCAGGGAGGACCCAGCGCTGCAGGTGCTCCGGGGGAGGAAACGGGCAGTGAGGACCCAGCGCTGCAGGTGCTCCGGGGGAGGAAACGGGCAGTGAGGACCCAGCGCTGCAGGTGCTCCGGGGGAGGAAATGGGCAGTGAGGACCCAGCGCTGCAGGTGCTCCAGGGGAGGAAACAGGCTCTGTGGACACAGGTGAAAATGTAAGATCTATCTCATCAAGACCTGGGGCGTGGCCATTGGTCT